ATGGACCAGTAAGTATGGAAGAAGACTTCTGGGGGAAGGTGAGCAGAAGTGATGGCCTGCACAGGCAAGGGGGAAGGTGTGGAGCACAGAATGTTCTAGACACTGCTCAGGGAAAGAAGCCTCCCACAGACACATGGTATAGGACCCCTCTCCTGAGGTCCCCGGAGACCTCAGATCCACAGAGACAGAGAACAGGGTGGGACGATGGGTGCTGAGGAAGGACAGAGAGTCCGTGTTTCATGGGGAAGATGGGAGGCTGGTGGTGAATACTGCTGAGCCATCATTTAGATGATTCAGTTCTGTGTACTTTACCACAGTGTGTACAGGTTGTACACAGGTGTGTCTGTACAGGTTGCTAGGACTGGATGGAGTCTCTGCTGACCTCAGGCTTCTGCTGTAGTCTGCAGCTGAGGTGGGAAAGGATGGGGAAGGAAAGTAGAGGACACAGAGAGCATGAGACTAAAGCCCATGGAGCTGATTATGTCTTTCTCCTTTCTGCAAAAGGAGAGCAAGAAAAAGATGGAGAACGGTCACATACTAGTAACCAGAGCTGGGGACAAATGTCACCCAGGTATTTCATGGGGAGGAGCTAGGGCCAAGACAGAAGAGCCCTGCTAGACTTGGGGGCCAGGGGCTCATGGAACACACCCTGACTGGGCACAGTACACAGTGGTCAGTTGGAGTCCCAGTGGGTGAGAAGTGGGAGACAAGAGGTCCCCTATGGTGCTGAGCTCCCAGGAAATCTGGATTAACCGGCGACAGACATTTGCACAGCTCTGACCTATGAATAGCATGGGAGGAGGCCAGTACTCAAGACTTCAGGGAAGGGGCTCTAGGTGAGCAGGCCAAGACAAACGTGAGGCATAAAGAAGATGGTCACCACTTCACCTCTACACCCAGGGCTGCCCCCTTCAGTTCAGTGAAGATGACACCACGTAGATCCCCTCTCCCCCGGCATCCATAGATACTTCCCTTTGAAAACAACACACTTCCTTGCATCTAATTGACACGGGATCTGATTCGCTCTTAGCAAACATAACAGTTCTCTGATTTTCAGTAACTCCACTGACAATCACCGTTATCTGATGTTCGAATGTTGCCAGCCCACAGGCCCCCATCTCCCCACCACCATCGGCATCCACTCCTCCCTTTACTCCCTCCCCAGCTCTAGGAAGAAGCCATTTCCTTCTCTAAGGACCTGGCTGGTTGGCATTTCTTACATAAATGAAACCCTTTGGTGAAACTTCTGAATAAAACAAAGCAAAGCTCCACTTTTACCTAACAGACAGCTGGGACTGCATAGCCAGATGCGCGTCCCCACCCCCAGAGAGGGGAGGTCCCCTGTCCTCTCTGCTGCGGTATCTATCCCTCTTCTGGCTGAGCTGCAGCTGGAACAGTAAATGCTGAGAGAAAAGAAGCAGCTAGGAACTCATAAGCACTAGGTGCAGGGCTCTAGAGGAGGTGAAGAGGAGGGGAAGGAAGAGTCACTCCGTCATATCTGCTCCCAGCATAGCAAAGGATTCCATAACCCTCACAGGCTCAGGGCTGTAGCCGGTCACATGGTCTGGCTGGTATTTATAACCATTTTCCTGCATATCTCTTTCCTTCAGCGAGTGCCTCAGCTGATTGTGGCCCTTTACCTAGTGGGTGACCTAAGCCTTCATTCCTGAAGGGTCTGGGCCTTCGGCGGTCCTACGTGGATTGGGCAGTAGAGTCTTTCCACTGATGTGAATCATTGAGACCAGAGCTGCAGGCCATCATCTATGTTCTAGACATTCTGTTGTGAAACCACAGCCTGTTTCCCCTAGCCAGGGCAGTTGCACCAGCCTGTAATCAATCGCCCCCTTGCAGCCTGATGTTTGGACCTATGATCACCTCAGTCTCCAGGGTACTGGGAGTCAGTGCAGTACCTATGGTGGAGGTCTTGACCAAGAGAACCCAGACAAGTGGGGACAGGAAGACAAATGCTACTGGCAGAGGGTTAGGATATAACTTGGTAGCAAGGTGCTTGCCTCCTGTGTGCACAAGCCCCGGGTTCAGTCTGCCAGTCACTGGTGGACTTTCACTGGGGAACAAGAAAATCATTGATGCATTAACCTCTGTGTCCCCAGGACCACGAGCAGTGGCTACAGGAACACGGCCACATGGTTGGGTTCAGAGGACGTTGTTCCAGCTCCTCAGAGTGCAGAAAATGAGCCACCTTTCTTTCTATCCTCAGGCCAGGGCGGTGGAGCATGTGAAGGATGGTGATTCTCTGAGCTTGCACTCGCTGCGTTCTGGTCCTGCCTGTGCTAAGTCCCTGTTTAGAAGGAAGCCCTGAGATACACAGCAGGGAGTCAAGCATGCTGTGAAGGTGCCCTGGGCCAGGAGGACCAGCTCATATTCAGGTGTGCTTCAGTGCCAGTGGCAGCAGAGGGGTCTCTCCCATGATGGCAGTACTCCAACATCACCCAGCAGTGAGTGCCAGGCAGTAAATTTAGTGGATGGACCTCGATGAGTAGACACCCACGTACTGTACACACAATAATCATTCCATTCTCAAACTCCTTTGGGAATGACAGGGACATCTGGGGAAAAAGCTGGCTGGTGGCCACTGACTAGATCATCTCATCCACAGTGGACCTCCATTTGGCCCAGGGGTTTATTTCTGTGGCCAACATCCATATGGGACATATGTCTCTTCACAGCCTATGTAGTGCACCCTGGGAGAGGTCTAGCCCTTTCCTCTAACCTCCTGCTATCACCTTTTTCAAATACTTTCCTTCCAATTCCTTGACCATCATGACCTATTGGCCACCAAATGGTGGAAGCTGCAAACCTAATCTCTCCGTCCAGGTCAAGTAGGGCAACCACAGTGACTGTGCCAAGTCTTGCCTGCTGAGGTGTATCCTTCCTTCCATTCCCCAGAGGAGGCTGCAAGTCACCCACTCACTTTGGGATTGGGCTGACATGTCATGCAAAGCTGTTGAAGCTGAGCCAAGACTTTTTCTTTCTCAGTGACCAGGTAACAAGAAGTTACACATGAAGTACAGGTGCTGCTGGGAGGGGCTATCAAAGAAGCAGGAAAAAGTCACCGGCATCAGGGGAGCTCTTTATGAAACTCCCTGGAGCTTTGAAGTATGCAACGGTCAATCTTGATGGTCAACAGAACGGGATTTAGAATCACCATGGAAACAAACCTTAGGGCATATCTGTTGGGGATTTTCTAGATTAGGTTAATTAAGGTGCAAAGACTCACCCTAAAAGTGGCACCATCCCATAGGCTGGGGTATTGGAATGAATAAAAAGCAAGCAAGCTGAGCACCAGCGTTCATCTCAATCTGCTTCGTAACTGTGAATGTAATGTCGCTAGCTGCCTCGCGCTCCTGCCACAATGCCTTCCTCGCCATGATGGACTGTACCCTCAACGGTGAGTCAGAACAAACCCTTCCTTCCTTCTGTTGCTTTTGTCAAATATTTGCTCCAGGAATGAGTGAAGTAACTAGCACAGTGCTGGTAGTTATCAGGCCTGCCCTGCATCCACTGCCTCTACTTAATTGTGAAACACACCAGTGTCTCCCCAACCCATCAAATCATGGGTCATTCAAAAGCTCGTTTATAATGGACAGTTCAGGTCATGTGGTCAGTTGGAGTCACATGGCCACTAAAGCCTAGGGCAATGCAGGATCTAAAGAAGTATCCATGAAGGATGGCAGGATTCAGCGCCATAGACCAAGGTGGTAGACGGTGAAGTCCCTACAGAAGCCTCAACAGCCCCCACAGAACTTCCTCCCTCCCACAGGCACCTTGCACACCATGAATCTGCTGCTCAGAGACACTCATACAGCAGCCCAGGCCTGTCACCGAGCCTCTTCTTTTCTGGGTGTCTTAGTTTTCTATTGCTGTGAAAAAGACACCATGACCACGGCAACTCTTACAAAGAAAACATTTAATTGAGGGGGATCACTTACAGTGTCAGAGGTTCAGTCCACTATCATCATGACAGGGAGCATGACGGCATGCAGGCAGACATGGTGCTTGAGCTGAGAATGCTACATCTTGCAGGCAACAGGAAGTTGACTGTGACATTGGGTGATACCCTGAGCATAAGAAACCTCAAAGCCACTCCACAGTGGCACACTTCCTCCAATAAGGCCATACCCACACCAACAAAGCCACACCTCCTAATAGTGCTACTCCCTATGAGATTATGGAGGCCAATTACATTCAAACTACCATACTGGGCCTCACTGAAAAGTGATATCCTTGTGGGTCACTTGATATCATGTATCTGATAACTGCAAAATCCAAAGAGAGCCACTAGGCCCTTGCTGTATCTTACACAATAAGAAGGACCATAAGTAGATCTCCACTTGACCCAGTCTACTGCACCATAGCAATATCATCAAGGCAGAAGGCTCCCCCAGATCATGTGGGATTTGATCACCCGACCTTCAAACACACACCATGTGGCCAAGTCATCTTTAGATATCATGAAGGTCAGCATTAAATTAAAGTTGACTTGATATAGAGCTGTCACCTGGAAAGACAGTCTCAGTGAGGGACTTTGGATTGGCCTGTGGGCATGTCTGTGGGGGACTGTCTTAATTAAGTTAATTATGGTAAGACCCAGGCCACCATGGGCAGCACCATTCCCTAAAATAAGGGCCTCTGAACTGTAGGATAGTAAGGACTCACAGCCAAAGAAATCAGACTAGGACAGATGCCTACAACTTCCTGCTCAGATGGTCTAGGAAGCACAGCTGTGTCTATGGAGCAGCAGAGCAGCATGATGCCCATAGGATGAGGAGTCAGTTAAGAGTCCCTAGGGCTGGAATAGGATAAGGTATTCCCAAGCCTCTGAGATGGGACAGATGGTGTGCTTCCTGCTAGCTGAAAATAGCAGGCTCCTTATAAGTTTTATTAAGATGTACAAAGAAACTCAGTGCACTCACCAGATCAGCAGCCAAGAAATTGGACTTCATTAACTGTATAAACTTCTGTTGTAGTAGTCATCTCACCTGTTTGCTGTGACAAAATGCCGGGTAGAAACAACTGGAGGAAGGAACCATTTGGGAGGGCTCCCAGTCCACCGTGGCAATGGGGGTCGCTCACAGCTGCAGCACCAGGAACACCAGATGGCTTGCTCTTTTCTCTGTGGATCAGGAAGCAGAGACAGGTTAGAAAGTGAGGCCATGCTACGACTCTCTGTGTCCACCCCACACGTCCCACTTCTTTCAGTGAGGACTTACCCCCTGAAGCTGGAACCTTCCAAAACAATGCCCCCAGGTGGGAACTAGGTGTTCAAATACATGAGCCTGTGGGAGGCATTTCACACCCAAACCACACAATCTGCATTGCAGAAGCACTACTAAAAGAATGCAAAGAACTGGATGTGATAATGCATATCTGTGGTCCCAGCATTTGGGAGATAGGCACAGAAGAAATCCAAGGTCATCCTCGGTGATGTAGTGAGTTCAAGACCAGCCTGGGATACATGAAATCCCTATCGAAGAGAGAGGGTCAGGGCTGGGGCCGGGGAGCAGGTGAGATCGCTCAGCCATTGAGAGGACATGCTGTACCATCATGAAGACCAGAGTTCAGATCCCAGCACCCACATAGTAGCTTGGGAATTGTGTGTACACCTGTGACCCCAGCTCTGAGGGGATCAGAGATAGGATCATTGGTGCTTACTGGTCTCCAACATAGCTGAGAAAACACAAACCTTAGGTTCGGGGAGAGACCCTGCTTCAAAGGAAGAGGTGGAGAGTGATATAGAAAGATTCCTAATGCCCTCTTCTGGCCTCTGCATGTATGCATTGATGTGTGTACCCCCACACATAAGTGTGCATACACTCACACAGACATGTACACAAATAATTATTTTTAAGAGAAGGAAAGCAAGGGGGAAAAAAGACAAGCCATAGACTGGGAAAATATCTTTGTAAAATAATTTTAAAGATTTGTTTATTTTTATGTATGAGTGCTTTATGTGCATGTATGTATGTGTACCACGTGCATGCCTGGTACCTATGGAGGCCAGAAAAGGGCATTGGATCCCCTGGAGTTGGATTTACTGATGGGTGTGAGCCACCAGACGGCTGCTGGGAACTGAAGCTGGGTCCTCTGCAAGAGAGGTAAGTGTTCTTAACCACTGATCCCTCTGTCCAGCATCATCAAAATATTTTATATGATAAAGGATCCTTATTCCAAATATACAAAAAACTTTTAAATACCAATAAAAATTCATTTAAAAGATGTAGATGCCTCACTAAACGTGGGTGAGGTAGGTGCCTTACCTCTGGGTGTCAGACAAGCAGATTCTTAACATCTCGCAGAATTGGAGAACTGCAATTCAAACAAAAAGGAGATGTCATGGATGCACAAATAGCCAAAGTCAGGAAAATGGACAATACCTGATACTGTGGGCAGGAAGCCACAGGGCATCACATCACTGCTGGTAGGAATGCAACATGGCACAGTCAGGCCAGAAAGACAGTATGTCAGCACTGTGGGGGTAAGTGTGAAACCCCTGCCACTGGCTCACATGTTGAGCACTGCGCCCCCGGTGGGTGGTGCTGTTCTTGAAGGTAGGAACTCTGGAAAGTGAGGCTTAGCTGAAGGAAGGAGGTCATTAGGGGAATTCCTTTGAGAGCATGACTCCTCACCAGTCCCCTCTTCTCTCTGCTCCCTGTCCCTGAGGAGAAGAGCAACCTCCACCTATACACACCCCTGTCACCATAATGCCCCTACTGCAGCCATGAGACATGGAGGTGCCTCTGTCTGAGGTGCTGCGAGTACCAAGAAATGGCCCAGAAACACTCCCAAAGTCTAGTTATTCCTCTTTATCAAGGAAAAGGCACCAGGCAAGTGGCTGCAGGTCCCTTTGGGAAGCTGGAAGAAAGAGGAACAATGCGAGGCTGTAGAGCATAGCAGGGCCCCTCCTCAGTCTGGGATGGTGACCTGGACCTTGAGAGAGCCAGGCCTGTGTGGGTGCTGCCAGTGTGCTGGGCCTGAAGCTCCTCACTGGTGCTCTCAGCTAAGACTCCAGTGCTAGTCCTTAGTCTTGGAGATACCATGACCAACTGACTAGGCACCGGTATCTACAGACCAGGCTACTCGAACCACTGCCCACCACAGAGGCCACATTAGCACCAGGCACAGGGGTTCCCAGCCATGTCCTGGCAAAGGTTCCTCTCGTCTGTCTTTCATCAAGGTCTCAGTTCTCCTAGCCCAACACCCACCCTGACTGGCCACCCCTCTTACGTCTGCCTCAGTCCTGATTCTGGTGTTTGAAATAGCAAAATTTGGCTGAGCATGGTTGTACATGCCTGTAAACTCAGCACTTGGCAGGCTGAGGCAAAAGATAATGAGTTCAAAGCCAGCCTGAACAACATATGTGTCTCCAAGTCAGCTAGAACTATATTCCCAAGACCCTGTGTCAAAAATGAAATGAAATAAAACATCAGATGTTTATCTCACATTGACTTAAGCAAGGAACAGTGGTTGGCTAAAGTCACCATGACACCCCAGTGTGAGCAAGAACCTTGACTGAGACAAGACTGCCCTTTCTGTCTTTGCCTGTGGCCTCTGAGGGGCAGAGACAACCCTAATATGCTCCTCCTTGCTTCTGAGAACTCAGAGCAACCTGTTAGGGAGACTCCAGCCCTCAGTGCCACAGCTGGGGTGATTGCCTAAACCTGGTTCTGGCAGCCTTGGCAAGCCCTGGTACGATAGAGCTGAGAGCCTCTGGGTCTCTCGGGGCCTTGGCCCTCCTACCCCAGCCCTTGATACCTTCAGACACATCTAGAATCTCTGGGCTTTGGCTGTTCGACGCACTGCCGCCAACCAGAGCCAGCCCAGCAGTATCTGATCTCTAATCCCAGAAACTGGGTATAAGAAGACACAGACTGGCCAAGTGGGGCCAGGGAGTTACAGTCATCACATTGGGCCACCGCAAGAGCGGAGCAAACACGACTTCAGTGGGCACTGTCTGCAGAGTAGTTCCTTTCCTCATTGCTGCGGCAGAGTCCCTGACAAAAATGACTTAAGGGAGGAAGAGCTTCTTGTGGCTCAAAGGGTGAGGGGACACGGGCCATCCTGGCAGCAGTGGCCTGCAGCTGTGGTAGCTGGAGGACAAGGCTGCCAGCTCACATCTCAGTAGACCAGGATGCAGAGAAAGGGGATGCTGGCGCTCAGCTGGTTTTCTCTCTTTTCTCTTTTTCTTTATCCCAGACCCCAGCTCAGGCAATGGTGCTGGCCACATTTAGGACTGGTCTTCCTTCTGTTCATCCTTTTTAGAAATGCCCTCATATGACAGACATGGTGAGAAATGCTTTTAATCCCAGCTCTCAGGCCAGCCTGCTCCAGACCAGTGGGGGCTGCATAGTAAGACCAAAAAGAAATGTCCTCAGAGAAACACCAGGGATGTGCCTCAGTTAGTCCCTGATGTTCTTAGTCCAATCAGGTTCTTCCTGTGCAGCCAAGGATGACCTTGAACTCTTGGTGTTCTTGCTTATACCTCTAGAGTGCTAGCATTACAGGGATGCACCACCACCACCTGGGTTATGGAGAGATGAGGATCAAACCTAGTGCCTGTGCATGCTAGGCAATCACTCAATCCACTAAGCTATATCCCTACTTCAGCCCCTTGTAAACTTGACATACAGTGCATCACTTCAAACCATAACACTGTGAGGCCAGCATGAGCTTGATAACCACCCTTCTGGGTTTGCTGAAGGACCCTTGCTGTATTTACACATGGTAGACACACACAACTCTCCTTCCTCCCCTCACAAGGCCACTGACCCCATCACCAGATCTTACCTGACCTTAGTCACCTCTCAAAGGCTAACTAGTATCTCATTCTTGGGGTCAGAGCATCCACCTAGCAATCTGGAGACAGCTCAGTCTATTGCTGATGCTGGTAGCAAGTCTACCTCCCAAAGCCTTTTCTCCCTGATCTTCCCTTCTCTTCGGGTCTCTGTCCTGCCCTTTCCATCCCAAGGGTCCCCACCTCTGGCCCTCCTGCACCAGATGGGGAGCCTGAATGGCGAAGAGGCATGGTCACCAGTGGCATTTCCTCAGCTCCCAAAGGCCACCAAGCAGGCTTAAAAGTGTCAGTGACTTAATCGAAGCCTTTTGCCAATGAGCAGTCTCATCCCCAACCACAAGACTTGAGAATGAAAATGAAGCCACACAGGAGACACAGGGCCATCAGGCAAGGGGCACTAAAGGGTCCATGAGTTTCTGCCAGATTTTCAGGTGCCATAGGAGCCTGGAAGAGGTCCAGGGGTCGTTCTGATGACAGCCCTCCCAGGTACCCTGAGCAGCCAGCCCTTTCTCTTCTTCATCATCATGGGTAACCCAGGCAAGACTGCAAGACTCTTCCTTACACTGAAGAATGGGACAGCATGGAGGTAGAGGGATGTGCTTTCCTTAAAGTGACCCTGGAACCTGGGAGGTGGGTTGTGGACCCTGGATACCTCCCCACCCCCCACCCCCGACCCCAGGGAAGATAGCTGCAGCCTGTAGCATAAGCTGGGCCCCATTGATGAGGATGGAGGGCCTCACTCCCAGGAAGCACAGGGATGGGTGGAGCAGGGTTGGTCTTGGTACCCACTACTACAACAGATGTGAGCGCGGACTGAGAATAGGCTCAGCTGCCATATGCCAGAGCCAGAGAACAAGAGGCCCCTGGACTCAGCTATGGGTAGAAGGCAGCTTCTAACATGTCTCACTCCCACTATAGTGGACAATTTCCAAGTCAGGACAAAGGCAAAAGTCAGGCCATTCCCAGTTCAGGTTCCCTAGCAGTCCCCTCAGGCTTGGAGTCCTACTCTCCAGGCAGTGGCAGGGGGAGAAGAGAGCTAGGATGTGGGTGTCCCCATGTGCCCAGGTAACAGACAGGCTGGCCTTCCTGAGTGGGAAGGGTTGTGTGTCACCCACCCTGCCCTGCCAGGCGCTCAGATGACAGATGCAGGTTGGGCTGTTTGTCCCCAAGGAGCAGACAGGAGCTTCTTCTGTCACACCTCCTTCCAGGTGACTCTTAGGAGGACAAAAGAGGAGACTATGACCCTTCTGGCCCAGAGTAACAGCCTTCAAGCTGCAGGAGCCTGCTCCTAGGCCAAAGTCCCCCTATCCCACCAGGGTTTCTAGAGGCAATTGTGTAGGCAAACTGAGGCACCAGTGAAAGAAAGCTATACAGGAATGAAGGAAGCATCGGACAGATGAGCATGGGGGGAGGGGGAGGACAAGCCGGTGGTGGGCGGGTGGATGGACATCAGGTGGTAAGTGTTGTCCTCTCCCCTCCCTGGTGGAGAAGGAGCAGGGGGAAGGAGAGGTGGAGGGGGAAGGCCAAGAGGGCAGGGCTCAGGGACACAACCTGGGGACCGACAAAACAGGCTTTGAAATGACATCTACTTTTTAGAGTTGTTTGGTCTTACAGAGTTCACAAAGACCCCCCTCCCCCCCCCCACAGTCTCTACTGCTGCCTGGGAGGACACACAGGAAAAAAAACGTACTGGGTCTTTCCTATACGTTCAGCCTGCGACGCAGCTGTGACCTCCTGTGTGAGGGTGCCCCCCACACCAAGCATTTCTCCAGCACACGCTGGCTGGGTTCCCCAGTGCCATCCAACTGGGCATGGCCTGCCTGGAGATGGCATCAGATCCCAAAGCTGAAAGCTCCACCGAACAAGAGTGCACAACGCAGCCCCCGCAGCTCCAGGCTGTGACCTGCATGTTGCGGGTTCCCGCAGGCCCCTCCTTTGGTCTGGGCCACTTACTGGAGTAGCCCATAGAACTCAAGGGGAGTGCTGGCCTACCTCTGCCCACTACTTTATTATAAAGGCCATGATGGAGGGTGGTCACAGATACCACACCAGAAACGCCTCAGGGTGAGGCACCTGGAAGGGGATGCCGCATGTCACTTTCAGGTCCACTGCCCTCTGGCACCCGCCATGGTCAGCTGTTTGGATACTCCTGCAGTGTCCTTTACTTTTAATTGTGTCTTTAAGGTGCAGACTGGCTGACACCATCACTGGCCTCCAGCTGCTTTCCCCTCCGTGGAGACAGGGGGAAGGGGCAGGACTGAGATTCCCAAACCCTCCATCCTGTCTTGAACTTCCTGGTGTGCAGCTCCACCCTGAGGCAACCTGGATGCTAGAACCACCAGCCAGCCCATGATGATGTTCCTGTCACACTGGAGATTCTAAAAGGTTTTAGGTGTGTCCAACCTCTAGACATCGTGACACAATACTGTCATCTACAAAGTTTACGTGTAGAACCCTCACAGTCGAGTTACAAAAAAACAAAAACAACTCCCCACCCCACCCCCAAGAACCGGAAGGACGGCTCAGTTAGTAAAGCGGTCAGTGCACGATGAGAACCTGAGTCTGATCCCAGCACTCCCCTTAAAAATTAGCTGTGAGGGGCTGGAGAGACGGCTCAGCAGTTCGGAGCACTGGAGGCTCTTCCCAAGGACCCAGGCCTGGTTCCTAGGACGCTCATGAAGGCACACAGCTGACTAACGCCAGTTCCGGAGGATCTGAGCCCTCTTCTGGCCTCTTCAGGAACTGCACATATGTGGTGTTCCCGAGACACGTGCTGGCAGAACACCCATACACATAAAATAAAAATAAATCTAGCTGGGCGGTGGTGGCGGCGGCGCACGCCTTTAATCCCAGCACTCGGGAGGCAGAGGCAGGCGGATCTCTGTGAGTTCGAGGCTAGCCTGGTCTACAAAGCGAGTTCCAGGAAAAGGCACAAAGCTACACAGAGAAACCCTGTCTCGAAAAACCAAAAAAAACAAAACAAAAGTAAATCTAAAAGAAAAAAAAGAAACTGGAGAGTGATCAAGGAAGATCCCTAAAGTTGACCTTTGGCCTTTACATGTGTGTGAGTGCACACACAAAATTGTGAAAAGAAAGTCTCATGATGTTCTCAGTACACTCACAATTTTATGTTCAGCCACACATAGGATAGGCAGCTGTCCTCAGTCACATGCAGACTACAGGGTGGACACATGTGGTAGGAACTTTGAACCAGGAAACAAAATATGTTTCACAGCAACATGTGACGTTGATGAGGGGCAGCTGTCATCCAGGATTGATGTATTGCTGTCAATTAAACCCATCTCCTGTGTCCCTGCCTGTCCTTTTCTGGCCCCAAGGCTTATCCAGGATCCCACATGACCTACATCCTGCCTCCTGAGGCTCTTCTGGGCTAGAACAATTTCTCATTGTCCCTGACGTGACCATGAGTTCTGAGGTGGTTCCTCAGGTGTCCTGCAGGGCCCCAAGCTGGGGAACGTCCCATTTTTCTCAGTGTTAGATGGGGTCATGGGTTATGGAAGAAGACAGCCATTTCCTAACCTCCCACCACAGGTCCTCACCATCCACATGGCTTGTCCCTGGGTGTCATGGCTGGGCTGCCTGCAAGGCCTCCACTATGCAGAGCCCCTCTCTCTTCTCAGGAAGGAAGAGGCTCTGGTTTCTGGTGATGAGATCTGCCCAGCCTTCAGGAGGAGGGTGGAGTCTTGGCACGGTTTCTCTGGGATTCTTCTGGATGGGACATTTGTTCTCTTCTTCCTCACCCATTGATACAGTCTATCATTTACCTCATTGGTATGGATTCACTGTGGGGGCGGGGCTGTGCCCCAGCACATGGATGGAGGTGCTGTCAGGGGACAACCTGCAGAAGTCCCCTCCCTCTACTGTGTGACACCCAGAATTAGCTCAGGTTGTCAGGCTTGGCGGCAGGTGCCTTTTTGTTTTAATTGAAACCTAACACTATTCAAAATCTCCAGCTTTTGGCCATTGGATCTCTTTTGGATAGAACCGTTTTTAGTCAACTAACTCATTATTAGATGAAGGAAGAAGTGACAAAAAGGAAGTAGTAATACTCCAGCAGTAAGTGCCCTGTTGTGGGTCAATGCGCGCGCACACACACACACACACACACACACACACACACACACACACACAGGGGGGGGGTGAGAGAGAGAGAGAGAGAAAGAGAGAGAGAAAGAAATATGCACACAGGGACATATGCACACAACAGAGAGAGAGATACACACAAATACTCACAAGTAAACACACACAAGCACACAACATACAAACACACACACATATACACAGAGACACACATACAAAGACAAACCCACATCATACAAAACCATACACACAGATACACACAAACATACATAATACAACACATATACAAATACACACACAAATGTAAATGTACACTGACACAAGCACACAAATACATAAATACACATAGATACACACACAGAAAACACACAAATGTATACAGATATACATATATACAAACACACCCAGAGACACACAAATACCCACATACATAGAACACACACACACACACACACACACACACACACACACACACACACACACACACACACACAGCATCTTGGAGATCTGGGCAGTCAGCAATGAGCCTGGTGTCAGGACAGGATCTATCATAGGACCAAAGTGGATCCCTGGGCCATCCCTTCAGAGCTGAACATGCAGCCTTGGGCCTCTTCCTGACTTCAGAGGGCCAGTACTGCCCTCTACTGGGAGTGAGTCATACCCCAGGGTGCCCTGAGGTAGGCAGTAGGCAGAACAGTAGCTTCCTCGGACATACCACTTCCTCCTAGAGAAGGTGTCACAGCAGAAGGTGGGATGCAAAGGTATCCAAAGGGTATGTCGCTAGGTGGTCCTGCCACATATGGATCCCTGGCCCTGTTGGTGGGCTCAGGAAAGAGAAGGTAAGGTTAGACCTGGCCTTGGGGGGACTGGCCTGGGGTCCCCAGCACTTTGAGAAGACACAGTAAGGCCACCTGAGCAAAGAACCTGGCTCCATTCTCTTCTCCTAGGCACAGAGTAATCGGGGAAGGGATTCTAGGTGGTTCCAGGCCCATCTGGGGTCCTAGAGGCTGCCTGGCTCTTCCTTCCGTGCAAGTGGAGAAAGATGTTAAGGAGTGAGCAAAACCAGGTGGTGAGCAAGCTAGAGACTCTGCTGTAGGTGGCTTGGCACACTGGATGCTTAGGTCATCCCTGAGGCTTTGCTTGGGCCACACCTAAGCTGGTCTGCACCCCGGCTGAGCCCTGGACTCTACAGTGGTCACACCCTACAGTCTCAAGACAGGGACTCTGAAAGATGGGAGCTACAGAGGAGCTCTCTGGAGCTCTGGAAAGAGCCCCTCGGGAAGAAGGAGAACAGCAATAATAGGCGCCAGCGTCAGCCTGAGTGGGTAGGCACTTGGCCATCTTCCCAGCACCAACACTGGCAGCCAGTACAGTGCCCTGTTCCACTGGCTTCTAGAAGACCCAGGGGTCATTCCCACGGTCACCTGTTTTTCCTACCAAGATGCCCCCCATCCAGGAGGACCCTATATTACAGGATGTGAAAGGAGAGCCACACAGTCCTTCCTGGAGTACCCAGAAGGGGCCCCTGGGGTTTATGAAGGCCCAGACCATAACCAGATTTTATGGCAGGCACTCATGTTACGGCCAGGCCTCCAAAGCCCACTTAGCATGGACTACATGTATTTGAATTTGCAGCACTGTGCTGTCCACGGCTTAATGTCATTCTGTGTTATTATAGATGATGTTTTAACAAAGATTCCTGTGGTGTGAGTGAGTGAAGACCCTCCTGGGGGGCTCTGATATTTGAAGTAAGCAAATAGTTGTTCCCCTTTCAAAAAGTGACTGGTAGAGTCTCATTTGGTTCTTCACTGTTGTGTATTTATTTATGAGTGTGTTCCTGGGGTGGGGTGGCGGTGGAGGTACGTGGAGGCCAGAGGTGAACCTCAGGTGTCCTTCCTCAGGAGCCATCCAACTTGTTTATTGAGATAAAGTCTCTCACTGGCCTAGTAGTCACCAGATAGGCTAGGCTGGCTGGCCAGTGAGTCCCAGGAATCCTCCTGTCTCAGCCTCTACAGTGCTGGAATTACAAGCATGCACTGCATGCCTGCTGTCTTTAACGTAGGTTCTGAGGAATCTGACCTCAGGTCTTATGCTTGCAGGGCACACACTTTACTAACTGAGCCACCTCCCCACCCTACTTATTTTTGAGATGGGGCTCACTATGTGGGTTAGGCTAGCCTCTAACTTGCTATAATCCTCCTGCCTCAGCCTCCCAGGTACTGGCTGTGAGAAACACGTTTTGTTTTTGTTTTCTGTCAAAGATGGCTAGCCCACCAAGGGCCAATACCCATAAACTTCCCCCATCTTGAAATGCCTATGTATGTACCATGCCTGTTTGCCCAGCCCCTGGATATTCCTGAGACTTGACTCTAACACACCCTTCCCCTCTGTGCTGATTATGAACTGGCCAATAGCATCCGATCTTGAGACAAAAAGCACCTGCAGGAGTTCTGTTTGGGGATTAACACCAGGAGGACTTCGAGACACAGGGTCTTTAATCCAAACCCTAAAGGTTCTAACGTAGCTGAGCAGGTTAGTTCACTCTCCTAACCAATGCCAGGCATTGGGCTCTTCTCTTACCGCTCCACAAGACTCCACCCACTCCTGGTGCTGCAGTGTGGCCCAACCCACCCACTGTGAGGCCTCATACACCTACAAAAGCCCAGCTGTCTTGGGCCAGGCCAGGGCAGCTGCAGGTATAGAAACTGCCCCCCCCCCTTCCTGCCTGCCCTTCTTCCTTCCCCCAACCCAGCCAGCCACTAGGTTACAAGGGCTGTTGACAGATGGGAGGGCACATCCTACCTACTGGGTCAGCTGTGGTCTGAGGTCCCCACCCAATGAGGAACCACAGAAGGGAGGGGAGTGGAGAGGAGGGGAGGAAAGGGGAGGTGAAAAGAGGGGAGGGGAGAGAAGAGAGAGGAGAGGAGAGGACAGGAGAGGAGAGGAAAGGAGAGGACCATCATGGAGCACTGGAATCGAATCAAGATTGCCAAATGCCAGATACTGATCACCAACTTCTTTGTCTTGGTAACATGCTAGTGGAACAGAAGGAGTGGGTGGGTAGGTGGGCAGTAGGGGAAATAATTCACCATGCCCAGGCCCTCTGGCTCTGTGAGCTCCCCTCCCCCTACACCAGAGTCCCACAGACTGCGTCTGGGTCCCTGGTGGCCACCTTAAAGGACTGTGGACACCTGTCCTTGTAGGCCCAGCTGTTACCCCAAGGGGCAGTGAAGAGCCTGGGAGAACCTAGGTTGGCTGGTGATTTGGAGTGCACAGGGACTTGCCAGGAAGGGGTGCTGCCTGGGATCCGGGAGAGGACAGGGACCGCAGGGTCTCTGCAGACTGTTTGATGTGATCTTCTCAGCCCTTAGAGAAAACGGGAGCAAGTATGTGTGGCGTGGACTTATCTCTGCTGTGTGGCAGCATGTCTGTGGGAGGACCTGTCCCTCCCGTCCACAGAAACATGGAGGCCTCCTGCAGCGGCCTTGCTCCTGGAGGGAGCCAGGCTGGGGCGCCCAGATGCCCAGGCCCTACACTCTGTCATTGCGGGGGGGGGGGGGGGGGCGCTGTCCCCAGCTCTGATGATGAGCCCACCTCACTCTCAGCTGCTGGGCCTCTCTACGGCCACCATGGCAGCTGTCACTCGCTTTGGAGACCACTTGACTGTCATTGGTCATGCATCCTTGGAGAGGAACCCCTATGAAGCAATGCACTACTGGGGTAAGTGAGCCCAGAGATGGCTGTGGAGAGGAAGTGGGGCGGGGGGGGGGGGGGGCGCTCCAGGGTCAAAAGCATCTGGAAGGAACTGACCTGACTCCCCCAGCCCTAGGCTGTCCGGAGGAGGTGGCTTTGGGCAGAAATCAGAGGTTGAGGGGGCAGGGAAGGGACGCCCCAGTGTCCTGGTTGCACTAACAAAAGTTGGGGAGATTTAGGCAACATCAGGCACTCCTGCCCTGGTTCTCCGGCCACACAGGACTGTTGAAGCTGTGGCAGGCCCCAGATCTGTGCTTTCAGGGCAGGGATCAGATGGGTCTGTGGGACTCAGCAGTGAATGCCATATTCAGAGGGCAGAAAATGCCCAGCTGGGGCCACGCCTGCCAGAGTGTCCCACTTCCACAAGAGCAGGGCCACTTTAACAAGGGGGCGGGGGTGTTCCTGGTAGAAATGCAAGGAACCCTGGAAGGCGGCCACTCAGTAGGAAAGGGTGGGAGAAATTGAGGCCTTTGAATGGGGGGCTGGCAGGCCCAGTCCCTAGGCCCCCTGCCTTCCGAGGGGCTAGGCCCCGCCCAGGCAGGAAGCCTGAGGCCTGGGCCTGGACTGATAAGTCACAGCCCCACACTGCCACCGGTCACTAGAGTACGGGGATGTGGCTTCAAGATAGTCTGTGAGGCAGGGAAGGCGGGAGAAAGGGGGTAAAGAGTATGGCCCCTAGCTTGCTCCTGTTCTTCCCCCTTCCTTCCCAGTCTTGACAGGAAACAGGCTATTAGGCTATGGCACACCCCTTCTTTTTTGGGCCAGAGATTATGTGCCTTTTGGGACCTCCCCAGGAGTTGAATTCTAGCTCTGTGACCTCCGAAGTCGATTTCAGATCCAACCTCCATGCCCAGTCCCCACGCTCGAACCCTTACCCTCTGCCTTTCCCTCCCCACAGCCTTCTACGTGGGGATCAGCCTAGCAGGTCTGCTGAGCCTGGGCGCTGCCCTGAGCACCACAGCCACAGTGAGGGAGGCCCATGGCCTCATGGCTGCGGTAAGTTCTGTGGGCTGCCAGATGACCCCAGCTTCCGACTCTCAGACAGGGACAAGAGCTGGAGAGAAATAAACCTGGGGGGCTGCCTGACCCCAGCAGAAGTATCCAGAAAGAAGCAAAGGTCAGGGGATATGCACCAGGGAGTCCCTCCACCTACACAGTTAGGACCTTCCACTTGTCCAATCAGGACCCTCCCACCTGGACCAGTCAGGATCCTCCACCTGGGTCATTTAGAAGTCTCCATAGGGCTCAACATCACCCTGTCTTCCTCAGATCTAATAATGGTTCTGTAGGGCCCCTGAAAGAGATCTGGCACTCTCAGCCCTGGGGCCATCTCCAAAGGCCCTAAGAGGGCCTGGTTCTGATATCTAGCCAGGTCTGGATGAATTCCACCACTTCTCATTAGGAGACCAACCAGGGACAAGGAGGTCCCGAAGCTGGTTCTGCAGCCTGGACTTCCTTCTCACGGGTCCACTATCCCTGCCTAGCCATTGAAGGGAAGTTTCACAATCCCATAGAAGAAAGCCCTTGCTGGTGCTGTAACTATTCTCCATGTGGGTGCCTTAGTGTGCCCCTACAACCCTCAATAGTTAATCCAGATTCTATCTGTCAGGACTCTTTCCATGGCCACCCTGTCCTTGTTTGATCCAGGCTTTCCCAGTCACCTGAACCTGGGCAGCTCCTTTCTGATCCCCTGGTCTCTTACCTTCCCTCCTCACCTCCATTCCGGGCATAAGATCTCATTTCCCTCCTCCATCCATCCCTGTGCCCCTGCTTGTAGGACTCCCAACCTCTGCCTGTGAGTGACTGGGGGAATCCAGGAACCTGAGCCAGAGACTTTGCTTCCTGGATAGACTGAAACTAAACTCTGCATCCTGTCTTCATGCTCAGTACGTTTGCTGACGACCCTTGGTTTCCAAAGACAGGGACAGAGTCACCTCCTACCCAGAGCCGCTTCAGGGACCAGACAGACCTGGGTGGGCCTGCGTGGTGGACTAGGCAGAACTTGGCAGCTCTAGCCTCACCAGGATTCCTGCTCTGATGACACAGGGGCAGGGTGTGGATAATGCCGGCATGAATGAACACTGAACAAAGATAGCCTGGACTTAGGGCCCAGAGGGAGGCCCTAGCGAAAAAGTCACAGAGCTGGTGGACCCCAGACGATTTGCGCCTTGCTAGAGGGAAACAAGGAGGAAAGACAAGATGGAGGCAGGGGCATGCAGAAGCCAGCCCGAGAGGCCTGCGCCTGGTATAACTTCAGCCACCAGGGGGCACCATAGTCAGCATGAAGACTGAAGCAGGAGGCGGTAGGCAGGTGGGCTGAGGGGCCCAGCTCCAGATCAGCCTATTCCATCTCAGCCTTCCCAAGCTCCTCCCATGTCCTGCTTGGCACTTGATTTGTGGGCAAAGGATTCCAGGAGCATTAGAACCCACTCAGGCCTCCCAAATCTTCAATTCCACATCCCTAACGGACTCTGGGCCTGGTGCAGTACGGTTATGTGGGTCAGCCTAAAAGGCACATCCAGACTCCTGTTCAGAACTATGTTCTCCAAATCACTCCAGGACCAGTGTGGGCTCTGCACTCTGCTGAACCCCAGCACCCTCTACCCCAGCGTGGACAGTAAGCTCAGTTCAGCCACCACAGGGTCACTGGGAGTCCGTCCCACTGGTCACAGTCCCTTTGTGTCATGTTTACGCCAGTGCCTGTGTGCATGGTGGGCGCCGTCTGCCTCTGCCTGCCCTGTTTGTGTCATGTTTATGCCAGTGCCTGTGTGCATGGTGGGCGCCGTCTGCCTCTGCCTGCCCTGTTTGCTGCCTGTGTGTTGTACCTGGCCTGCACATCAGAGCACATATAAAGGGGTCTAGGGAGTGGAAACATCCCCCACCGTGACTCTGTGCCCACTGCCCCCCTCTCTGCCCTTTCCTGCACCACCTTCTGCAACACAGGAAATGAAAGAGCTAGCTAGCTGCAGGAAGCGGACTCAAGTTGTTTACAAGTTTATTTATTCATTCATTTTCATTTAGAATGAGTAGAGAGAAAAATGGTCACAGTTAGGCCTGGCCCAAGCTTTCTCTGCACTATGCAGATCTTAAGACCCTTTCTACACACACACACACACACATACACACACACAGAGAGAGAGAGAGAGAGAGAGAGAGAGAGAGAGAGAGAGAGAGAGAGAGGCAGAGACAGACAGTTACAGAGACAGAGAGGAAGAGAGAGACAAAGAGACAGAGAAAGACACAAAGGCAGAGGAGGAGGGAGGGAGAAACTCCCTCTTGAGAATGCAATGGTTTCTGGAAAGGGCTGGACTCTTGGGCTGGCTCACAGCCTCAGCTGGGAGGCAGAGTTGAGGAATGGCTTCCAGATGGGGAAGGCGGCCCTCAACTGCCAGCAAGAGAGAAGAGGGGGGAGGAGGAGACGGAGGGAAGAAAGGGTGGAGGAGAGAGAAGGCAGCAGGAGCGGGAGGAGGGCAGGAAGGGTAAAGACAGAGGTGGGCAGAAGCAGCAGGCACCCAGGGCCAACTCCAAGACAGCGATACAGACTCTGGGACAGGCAGGAGGAAGCAGGGGAGGGGGCACCCCACACCCACAGAGCCCACACCCACCCAAGTTTGAGGCGCAGTGCCGGTGACCCTAGCTCTTTCAATACACTTGGGCGAGCTAAGCTGGCCCTGGCACAGGCTGTTTGTTCCCATCATCCTGGCCTATGACTGTAGGTTGCTCTGCATACTGGTCACTTTTCCTCACGGGCGTTATCCCTGAGTGAGGCTGGGTTGAGACAGCCAGGCCACAGCAACCCATATCCATTGAGTGACATGCTAGTGACACTTGGGGGTGGGGTGGTGGTTGATACAGAAGGCTCAGTGGTCACACAGGGGCCTCTGTGTGTTGAGTGGACCTATGTGCATGGTGCTGGGGCTGACAATCAAAAGTGCTAGGCAGGGCTCGGAGGGTACCCAGATCGGAGGTCACTGGATGGGAATTTTGAGGTGTGCTATTGAGGAACAGGGTTCCTAGTCTAGAGTGACCCTGTAAAACTATTCACAGAAGAGTAGGAACTTGTACCAGTACACACTCCGGGAAGAAGATCTGCACTGTCCACTAGCTTCCATAGGAAATAAGAAGTTGCACCCCGGCTAAAAGAAAGAAGGAAAGGGTGGAGTGTGTAAAGAAGTCCCTTTTTAACACTTGGGGTGAGGGGTTGGAGTGGGATGACCTTAGGGACCCATGCAGTGGAGTAGAGGAAGGGTAGAAAACTCATGAAGGGAGGAAGGTCATATAGTCTCTGGGGTGCGTATGCCTGGGGTTGTGGGCTGCGGGCCTCTGTGAGTCAGACTGTAGAAGTTAGGCTCTCCTTGGAAACGTTTTTCAGAAACAGAACAACAAGGAGCCCACAGAAGGTACCCTGTATGAGGTGGCCATTTTCTACCTTCAAGGGAGACATTTCTGGCTGGGGTGTGGGTCAGTTGATAGGGTGCTTGGCTAGCCCCCATGACACCCTCGTAAAGTCACTAACACTGAATAAAACGTAGTGGCTGCATACCCCTGTAATCATGGCACTGAGAAGATGGAGGCAGGAGGATCATGAGCTCAAGGCCAGCGTGGGCTACAGGAGACTCTACCTCAAAGGAGGGGATGGGCGGCAAGGTGAACGAGGCTGGAGAAATGGCTCAGCAGTCACAAGGGCTACCCGTTCTTCCAGAGGATCCCAGTTCAGTTCCCAGGAACCACATAGAACTACCTGTAACATCTGTTCCAGAAGATCCAACACCTTCTTCTGGCCTCCCCATAAATGTAAATTGTTTAAAAAATCTAAAAAATGTTTAAAGGCAGGGGGTTCTGTGGCCAACATTTCAGATACAGGGATGCACTGCCTGGGCTTCCTGGGGTTACTGTTCCTTCTAGAAGTAGCTTCAGTGAGCTAGGGTCTCCACCATATTGGAAAGGCCTCCATTCCTGGGGAAGCACGTGACACCTTAGGTCACAGGTCCTCTGGAGGCACCTGGGGAGCAGTATTTAATGGGGCTCAAGCCAGCAGCTCAGCCCAGCCACCTGGGGAAGCTACCTACCTGGTACCCTGCCCTACCTCCCCAGACCACATACCTAACTGTGCAGTGACTTGGCCATCTCTGCCCCTAGGGGTTCCTGTGCTTTGCCCTGTCATTCTGTGTCCTGGTGCAGATCGCATTCTGGAGATTCCACAACCCCACCCAGGTGAGTGCAGCCGGGACCCTCTATCTGGATCAGCCAGGCTCTTTGTCCAGAGTTTCTGCGTCACCCTTCCTCCCTGCCCAAGGAGATCCCCAAAGACTCACCCCAACCCTAATATTAAAGGAAAAAACATTTTTTCTATGGTGCAGAGGATCTGGAAGAGGGTTGAACCCTCACAAGAGCTGGAGGGCACGGGTGTCCCAGCGTCCTGCCAGAGGCAGCAGGGCCTAGCAGCATTTTGGCAGAACATTCCCTGTCCAGTGATGGGTGGTCTGGACAGCTGGAGGCTTGGGTCACAGTGTGGGTGGCCTCAGTCAAGACAGCTGCCAGGTATCAGGGGCTGGCCTCGGGTTGGCCTGCGGCAGCTGTGACCCATCTCTCTGTTCTAAAGCTGTGTTTACATTCTGAGGCCTAAACTTGAGGTGCAGAATGGGCAGACAGAGGCCTTACAGTGACCAGAGGACAGACAGCAACTAGGGTTTAATCTACAGAAGGGAAGGGACCTCTTACTCCAATCCCCATAAGACTGATCACTAGGGCAGTTCTCCAAGGCGTGCCTGACCCTGAGTGGGCCAGGGCTTCTTCCCAGGCCCTGGCCTGCTGGCCTATCTGTTGTCCTGGAGTTCTGACTTCCAACAGGGCTTAGATGAGCCCTGGTGAGCTACCTGGAGGTGAAAAGCACTCTGGGTTTGAAATCAAAGGCAGAAGGCCAGCCTTGGGCAGGTCCGTTATCCCCCCTGGGCCTTTGTGTCGGCTTCTCTCCATAGAGAGTAGAAGGCCCTGCTGGAGTGCTGCTGCATGGTGGAGATGAGCCAACAGGGGCAGTAGGGCTCCTCTGCACTCCAGGTTGTCTGGAATGTGGACCTAGTTCTGGGGAGTCCTGGGCTGGAATGAGGCCATGTGTGGTACCAAGCACAGCTTGCTCAGAATCACCAAAACATCTTCCCATCATCCCATGTTCTCCCTACCAGTGGGCCAATCCAGGCCCAATAGGTCACAGCCTTAGACTTGGTCATCCCAGCTGCCCCCAGCCCCAAGGGTAAGAAAGGATACAGGAATCAACTAGTAATGCTTAGAAGTCACTCCCAGCTTCCCCAAACCTCCCTGGAAAGATTCCCCAAGACATCCTAAAGCAAGGGTCTAACAAGAAGCTGAAGGATGGAGGAAGAGACCTTGTCTGTCTCTGTAGACACAGGCTCTGGCCTGAAGTGAGAATGGGGTGCTCCTTCCTGATGCCCCTCCCAGGACATAGGTCTAGGCAGGCATCCAAGGTTGCTGAGGATAGCAGTGTGGCCCAGCCTGCAATGTGATGAATACAGAGTGATAGGACTATTCATTACACCCTCACGGTGGCTTCAGAGCTACTGGGCCACAATCTCCCACTGTCCCCGGGGAGTGGAGAATGAATTGTTCAGCTTTCCTTAATAATTCATGTCAAGACCAAGCATAGAACAGACATGTCTATGTAGCCTCAGGGCCCAGTGCCGGCCCTCAAGCCACCTGCAGCTCCACGTGGGGCCCTCCTGGCCATGGCTGTATGGCCCATCTGTACTACCCTGAGCTGGCAAACATGGGGGAAGGGAAGTCACCCAGCCCAGGCAGATATCACAGTGTCCTGGCCTTAGGGAGAAAGACAGGGGGACACCCTAGACACCAGTCTTCAATCTGCACATAACCTGGATGCCGTGTCCTGCACAGCTCCAGGGACTGACCTGACGGGGGTGGCAAGGGAGTGAAGAAAGGACAGACACACAGGAAAGCTGGAATCGGGTGGTTTGAACCCTCTGACGGGAACCCTGCAGTCCCTTCACCCCCAGCAGCTCAGTGCGTTTATTATATGCAGCTGAACAAGGAGGCGGGGTTATTACAAGCAGATAAACAAGGAGAGAGGGTTTATCGGATACAGCTGGACAGCCAGGCAGCTTTAGCTAGTCTCAGTGAGACTCACAGGGTAGCAAGCTTTGCCAGCTTCTCGTGGGTCTGAGGCTTTGGTCCTTGACAACAAACACCCACTCAGGACTTCATATACTCAGGGCTTTCTCCACCCTCCACACTGGATAACACACTTACAAAGGAGAGTTTGTACCCCAGAAGCTGCTTGCCAACCCTGCAGACACAGATCCCTGCTAGGAGGGACCCCTGGGTAAGCGATGTGGAGGCTTGGGGCTCTGGCTTAAGAAGCCTGTGGTCTACCCTCCAGATTCCTATGGAAAAAACAAACAAACAAACAAACAAACTCCAGCCTCAAGTCTCTCACAGAGCACCCTGAGTGCCAAAATGGGTGCAGATGGCAATGTACTACCCCCGCCCCAGTGCAGGGCTCTCAGAGAGTCCAGCCTGGTCTCCAAGGCCCCAAGGTCAGGTTCTGCGGTCTGGGCAGGCCTCTGTTGTGCTCAGGGTGGGTGGGATGCTGGGCAGAACCAAGCTGAGCTGAGCTCTAGAGCTGATGTCATCTCTATTGTCCTGCAGGAATGACAGTGCACAGAGGGCCCCTGGGCACTGGGACATCCCTGAAAAGTGGTAGGACTGAGGAGGGAAATAAAGTCAATTGTGCTAGGGAGAGGTGCAAAAAGGGCTAGTCCAATAGTGCCTGCTTGTTTCGCCTACCTGCCCCACCCAGCTCCAGGCGTTCCCAGCCCTTCCCAGGATTTGCTCTCTTAAGGACACAGTAACCCCACAGACTTGAAGAAGCTGAGCCCATGAGAGGGCTCTGGCCCAGAATGACCAGCCACCAAGGCCAGCTTGGCACCTGCCCTGGGTGGGGGAGGGCCGGGGCAGGCTGAGCTGGGGATGACTCATGGGGATGTCTGGCTCTGCTGCATGGATGGAGAGGGAGAAATCGGTGCCAGGATCAGCAGTTAGCAGGGAGTTCCCTTGCCTCCTGCAGGGGCCTTGGGCCTGAGCTAGACTAACCAAGCACCTCTAGCTGCCTACCTGCCTACTATGACCTGCAGGCAGCTGGGGAGGGCGGCCCATAGTGGCCATCATGCCGTGGGACAGAAACCCTTCCTTTCTGAAAGGCAGGAGTAACCAGAGGAGGCATAGGGCTTCAACACCACCCCAGCCATTCAGGACAACTCTGTGTGACCTGGCTACTGGCCTGCATGAGGCTGGGAGTGGGGAGGATTCAGGGACTTCAAGGCAGAAGATATTGGAGGACTTGGCCTGGGCCAGAAGACCAGTGAGCCCTGCATATCCAGAATGCCTTCCGGGAAGAGATGAAATTGCAGCTTGTCTCTGAAAACATTTTCAGCCTGGGGGAGAACATGTTGGGGTAGCGATTGAGCAGAGTGGAGAAATGAAGCTAGGTGACAGAAGCAAACAAGTCCAGGCTGTTTGTGTGTGGAGCAAAAGCAGGGCCAGCCTTAGCCCCCCTCCCCCTTCTTCCTTCCTCTGCCTTGTCTACCTGGATCTGACCCCAGATCCCCTGACCTTCCCTGGTCCAAGACTAGAGCTCACCTTCCCAGTATTCTGGGTAGTTCTGGAGAAGGGTCCACAAGCACCTTAGGGAACAGAGGAACTAGTCCAGACCTCTGTCCACACTTCTCAGCAGGCTGGGTCTATTGCCTATATCCATATGCTCTTGGTGCAGGTGGAGGATGCAGTATTGGACACCTATGACCTCGTGTATGACCAGGCAATGAAGAGTCCATCTAGCAGCTGGTGGCAGGAGCTGGCCACCATCCAGGACACGGTGAGCCAGGGACAGGGTAGTCATACTTGCTGTACTGCAGAGAATGGGTGCCAGACATCCTTTAGAGTCAGCCACCCTGGCCAGGCTTCAAGAGATGATCCCAGGACACAGGTCCCATTGCAGGTAGATGACTGAGCTCTCACCCATCCCCCTCTGTCCCTAATAGGACTGGCTACCCAATGTTAGTGCAAAATCAAAGGGCAATGCCCTTGTTCAGCATGGAATGAGAATCCCAAGAAGGAATTGGTATTCTTCAAGGAAGTAGGTGTCCAGCCACCAGGCAGGCAGCAGGGACCTGCTGTAAGGGGAAGAGGTCCTCAGAGAGTCACGCTGCTCCATCACCAGGGCCAAGTCACTGGTGGCTAGTTTTCCAGAAGCAGCTGTGATCCCGAGCCCTGGCTCTGGTCTCTTGGGGGCCCCGTTTGCAGAATCACCTAAGTTACTTGTGCCTTGGTGCCTTAGTTTTCCCATCAGTCAGTTCTGCCCACGCTATGCTCCTCTCTGGTCTGTCTTGCAGTTTCTGTGTTGTGGGAAGAAGTCTCCTTTCGGGCTTCTGGCGAGCACCAGAGCCATCCTGTGTCAGGGCCAGGAGGCCCTGAGAGAGGTGAGGAGGAGGGGGATGAGGGCTTCTGCACCCAAGTCCAATGAGGGCTGGGCACTTCACTGGTAGAAACCTGTGAAGGGACATCTGCATCCTCTTTGTCCCTGTGGCCTCTCACATCTTGGAATCTGCCCTCAAGTCTCAGGGATGTACCCTCCCCATGGTGGGGACTCCCCCCCCCCCGTGGCAGGGACTCATGGGGTGGCCAACTTGACCCCCAACTCCCTTCTGCAGGCTAGCATCAGGCATGTGCCCCGCCTACTCTTCCCCTCCTTCATGAGGCTTCCCCAGGCCATCAAGCTCCTCCCCCACTCTCCCCTCTGAAGCTTCTAGAAGCTCAAAGCTAAGGCCCTACCTAACAGGGTGATCAGCTCTTTAGGGGGAGTAGGAAGGGGTCCCCAGAAAGCACAGAGAGTGCTAGTGGGAGGGCAGGGCGGAGCCCTTCTGCCCTGAGGACGAGGCCCTGACTCACTCACCCCCACCCTGGCCCTCTCTCCCTACCCAGCCCCCTCTTTGTCCCATCCCCCTGCTATCTTGGAAACAAACCAGCCCTATCTCATGGGGAGAGATGTCTGGCTACCCTCCAAGAAACAAGAGGGTGGGGAATGGCTCAAGGCCCAGCAGGGAAGGGAGCTGGCCTGCTGGGAATGGGCTGAGAGTCAGGGAGTCCCATCCACCCAAGAACAGTCCTCAGGTCTCAAATACAAAATGGCTCAGCACCTGCCTCCTGCCCCAGGGTGACCAAGGACCGGGCTGCAAAGGACCCCTGGTAGGAGAGAAGCAAGGCCAGAGCGAGCCAGCCAGAGGACCACTTGTTTGCCAAAAGGCAAGAAAGTACCCTGTAGGGCTCCACATGGTCCAGCCTATCTTTACCCTCCCCAAATGCTATCGCTAACAAAAATGCCAGCATCTGAATGTCCCAGAGGTCAGCTGTCACCTTCCTGTTTCTAGAAAGGGAGACTCTGTTGATGTCAGACCCACAGCAAAGAGTCTAGCAGTTCCAGACTCTCTGTCCTCACCAGCCTCTGGGGACTAGAGTACTTTCACTCTGGACTGCCTAGGGACAAAGAGTGGCCCACTGGAGGAGCTCAGAGCAGCTAGAACAGAGGAGGAAGGCCCTCCCTGGCCCCACAGAGACAGGCACCATGCCTTCAGTCTCAAGGTTCATGAATCCTCTTCCCCAGAGCGCTCAGTAGTTCTGCTTGGGAAGGTGCATACCTTGACTGCCCTGGCCTCGGCACTGGCTAAGCAAACCATGCAGCCCCAAGGGCTTCTAGGAGAAAAGTGGAATGGGGAAAGCTGAGCACACAGTGCAGGGAGGGCCAGCCAGGGTGGGCAATCAACCATGCTTGTTGCCTCTGTCCAGGACTGCCTACAGAGCATCGGGAAGTTTCTGTGGACACACTACAGAATCGCCTCCACCCTGACCTGCACCAGCCTGGCCCTCACGGTAGCCACCAGTTCCTTCCTTGTCCTCCTTCTATCCTGCTCTGCCTTGCCCCTTCCCAGACAGAAGCAGTCCTGGGTTACTGCCTCAGGCCAACACTCTAGTCATGGCACTACCAGGATCTTCCAGGCCCAGTCAGCAGGGAGGAGCCAGCCCCTGACCCAGGGAGGTGGTCTGGTGTCTATCTCATGCCCCCCATTTCCCAATCCTAGAAACTTCCCTGGAAGTGGTAAGGATCTGCCACCAGGACTGTTGATGGCTGCTGACTCCTGGGCATCTCTCCTGATTGCTCCAGGTATATGCCATGATGCTCTGCGCCTTCCTCTGGTTTACCATTCACTCCTACTGTGGATTGGATCGAAAAGGCAGATACACCCTGAGCCCACGGTAGGCCCCTCTCTCTCTGGAAGAGTCTTACAGCACCACAGGGTCCCAGTACATCTAGTCTCACACCGTGGATGTGTTACCTGTGCCTAGTAGGGCAGTGTGGCCTCCATAGGAAGCTCTTTGGAATTGTGGGGTGACAACATACCCTCCTCTATTCTGCCCATTTCCAGTCTCTGATGAGACCTGACATCACTCTGCCACCACCACAGAGATATGAAGATTCCAGACCCCACCCCACCCCCTGCCACCAAGTAGAGCTCCCAGGCCTTAAGGAACCCCTGGACTCCTTACTGACAGAATCACGAAGGACCAGTCCCAGCAGCTAGGAAAGCCCTTCTGTTCCCAGGACACTTGGACCTTCCTGTCAGCAAGCTCCGCCCACCCACTCACCCACCCACTCTCAGTGCTCTGACATCTGGATCCCTATGTGCAGCATCTGCATTGCCCGTTCTGAAAACAGTCATGCCATTCCCTTCAGAGCATTCTGGGGCATACTTTTAAATGTTCATATGTGTGCACACACGAGTGTGTAGAGGCTGGAAGACAATACCAGTTGTCATCCTCAGGAATGCTGTCCTGCTTTAAAATGGAGTCTCTCCCTGGCCTGGAGCTCACCAATTAAACTAGACTGGCTGGTTAGAGAGCCCACAGGAGCCTTCTGTCTCTACCTCCCCCATACTGGGATTACAAGCATGCAGCACAATGCCTAGCATTTTTAGGGTTTTAGGAATCAAACTCAGGTCCTTGTGCTTGCAAGGCAAACATTTTTTTTAACATTTATTCGTTTATAATTTATTTAATTGGCAGGAGAAGGGGCATGTGTGCATGCCACTGACTGAATTATAGCTCAGTCCCTCTTACGGTACCTTCTAGAACATTCTGAAACAGCCTCACCACACCCTCTAGACTTCTGGGATGGACTTGCAGTCCCTTCTATGATGTTCTATAACAGCCTCATAGTCCCTATAGAACATTCTGGAACAGATCTCGAGTTCTTTCTAGAACATGCAGGACAACTTCACTATCTCCCTTCGCTTCTCAGAGCCCATGGCTGCCAGCCCCAGGAACCCAGCCTCTTCAGATGGACCGAGAGTAGGCCAGTGCCTCAACGCCCCTCTGAAACACAAGCGTTTGCTAACTATTCGACACCCCTCTGAAGCACAGGTGTTTGCTCATTGGGTCTAGTAGGATGCTTGCTGTCTGCTTGCCCACAGAGATGAAGACTCTGGCCCTGAGCCCTCCCATGATCCACATGGTGGGGGAACGGAAGGGGAGAAGATTCCACCAGATGTGTTAGTTACTTTTACATTGTTGTGGCCAGACACCTACCAGAAACAGGAGAGATTTATTCTTGCTCATGGTTTCAGGGAGATTCTGGTTCATCACAACAGGGAAGGCATGGAGGAGTGGCTGTGTCTGTGGCAGCAGGAATATAAGGTGGCAAATGCTGGAGGCTAGATGTTGAGGCAAACCAACTTCCTCTGGGTCATCATGGACCACTTTGCTCCATAGTCACGACAACAAAATGCATGGAACCACATGGCAATAGCCAGGTTTTTGGTAATGGCCATGGGGCTGTTAATGCTTCTTAGTTTAGGGAGAAGAGGTCACCATATCCTTGCCTGAAATTCCAGCTACCACTCCCTCCTTCCAAGAAACTGTTAGGATCTTGGGAGATGCCAGAGTGTGGAAAGTTAACTGAAGCCAGGTCTCCATAATCCAGCATCCATGAGATCTCACCTATCATGGGGTGAGGCTTTTAGGTAATGATACTGTTTGGGGGTCACCCACACTCCCTATAAGTAACTCCTCACCCCAATAAATCTATTGGTTCAAGTTGAAACTTGAGTAGAATCTTCTCTATTGTCCATGCCCCACCTGGGGTGACCGGTTTCTTGCTCGTGTTTCCCAGAGAAAAGTCATGTAATAGCAGAGAACAGGTAGAGTGGAACCAGGGGCAGTGTCTTAGGGTTTCCATTGCTGTGAAGAGACACCGTGACCATGGCAACTCTTCTAAAGGAAAACATTTAACTGGGGCTGGCTTGCAGTTCAGAGGTTTTTAGTCCATTATCATCATGCTGGGAAGCATGACATCGTGCAGGCAGACATGGTGCTGGAGTGGTAGCTGAAAGCTCTACATCTGGATTGGCAGGTAGTAGGAAGAAAGAGTGATGCTGGGCCTGGCTTGAGCATCTGAAGCCTCAAAGCCAGTCTCCAGTGACACACTTCTTCCAATAAGGCCACACCTCCTAATAGTGCCACTCCCTATGAGCCTATGAGGGCCATTTTAATCCAAACCACCACAGGCAGGTATAACCTTCCAAAGTCCACCCCTAATGACCTCCTGCTAGCCAGACTCTACTTCCTACAGGCTCTACAATAGCACCATAAGCTGGGGACAGAACATTCAGAACATGAGCCTGTGGGAGATGTTTCAGGTCAAATCTGTGATACAGAGCAAACATACATGAGCCTGTGGAAGACACCAGATTAAAACTATGACGTCAGGTAAACAGCTCCATGCAGAACAGATAGAAACACCTAGGGTGATTTGGTGAGTCTGTGGAATAGGACAGACTAGGTCAAGGACAGAGGAAACCAGCACAGGGTGGGCAGGAGCCCTGGTCAGATGTAGTCCTGCGCCTGCCCCTTCCAGACATTGTCACATTCATGTCCTGTGCTGTGAAGGGAAGAGCATAAACCTGGCGGCAAAGTCTGTGTCTGTCACTGTGACAAAATACTGAGAAAGTCAACTTAGAGAAAGAAAGGAAGAAAACCAACTCAAACCTGAGAAAGTCAACTTAGTCTGAGTCAGGTTTTCAGAGGTCTCTGCCCATGGTCAGCTGGCTTCATTGTTTGGGGGCCCAAATGAGGCAGAACACAGCAGGCTATGTGTATAGTGGAGTAAAGCTAACACCTCATGGTGGCCAGGAGTAGAGAGAAGGGCCAAAGACAAAGAAAACCCCTTCTCAAGGCACCACTCAGTGACCTCTTCCTCAAAGGAGGCCTCACTTTCTAGTTTCCTTTTTTAAATGCCATTAAATTATGAACCTCTCTATGGATTAATCACTTCCCAGAAATCCAGCTACTGAGCCCTGCCCTGGGGGCCGTGCGTGCGTGCGTGTGTGCGTGCGTGCGTGCGTGCGTGCGTGCGTGCGTGCGTGTGTGTGTGTGTGTGTGTGTGTGTGCTCACAACAGCAACCTGAAGTAGCAGCAGGTTGTGGGTCAGAGCCCAGATGGGGTGGGCAGGTTCTCCACCATGCAAGAGGACAGGTTAGCTGGGCCCTACTCGGAGGCTTCTAGAAGCTCCCCCATCTGGGCTCACTCTGGCTGCTGGAAGAACCTAATTGATTGCAGCTGTGTTCTGTCCCCGGTGGCTGCCAGCTAGGACAACTTTCTGCTCTGTGAATTTGGTTCACTTCCCTCCAGCCTCTTCTTCAGACCCATAGGACAGGCCTGGCCTTCCTTGTGCTCTGCATTCTCCGGCTTCCACCAGGTGGTGAAGCTCTTTGCTTTAAGGGACACACGGTGATCTTGTCTGAACAAGAATTCTTTCTTCTAATACTGGTCAAATGCGCCGTGCCTGACACTGGCCATTTGACCACATTCAAGTGCACAGCTCAGCAGAATTAACATCCACCCACAGCATCCGCCTCCAGACTTTCCATCTTCCCAGACTGAAACTCTGTCCCCATTCAACACTGACTCCCTGCTCCCTCCCCAGCTCCCAGCTCCCTGTCCTGCTTGCTGTCTCTGTGGATTTGGGGAGTCTGAGGCCCTCCTGGGAGTGGCTATCCTACCACACACGGTTCATCCGTGTTGCAAGGTGAGGGAGAAATCTTACTATGCCTACCATGGCCTCCTAATCGCCTACTGGGGGACGGTGACAGCACGATGGGGAACAGGATCTAAAACTCCTGCTCCTGTAGCCACCGCCACACGACAGTCCAGCCACCTCTACAGAGGACTTTCACCTGCTCTTAAATAGTCACACAATCTATATAAGCTGCTAAGTCCCAAGGAGATACACTGGCCTAACCGAGGCTGAGGCCCCAAATGCAGCCTATAAGAGAACTTCCCCTGAGGGAGGTGACCCTGTCTCACACACAGAAAGAGAGGGTCCCCCAAATCAGAGCCATCCTGAAATTGGTCGCCAGACACATGGAGAAAAAGCCTGTTAAAGCCACCTTGTGTTTCTGATGCGCATGCTCCCTCCTTCCCACACATTTACTTCCTCAAATAGGAGGACGAAAGCACTCCACATCTGAAGACACATGGGGTTTTCTCCCTAGGGGATTCCCCCAATGTCACAAGCATTTGGTCCTGAGACAGAAAGTTCGGGGGCTCTAGTGGCAAGCACTTCTTCCCTGGTTCCATTCTTGTCATCTCGCTCTGCTTCACCCTATGAAATCAACATTAAAGAACATAGACAGGCTGTTCTAGTTTGGTGATTGAACACTGACCCAAACCAACCTGGGGAGGATAGGGTTCATTTGGCTTACACTTTCAGGTAACGGTCCATCACTAATGGAAGCCAACTCAGGAACTGAAGCAGGATGAGAACCTGGAGGTGGGGACTCAAACAGAAACCACATAGGAACACTGCTTACTAGTCTGTGCCTCATGACTTGCCCATTCTGCCTTCTTATACAACCCGGGGCAGCACTGCCCACAGTGAACTGGACCCTTCCACATCATTGTCAATCAAGCAGATGCCCCCCCCCCCCCCCACAGACTTGCCTACAGGGCATCTGATGAAGGCAATTAATTACTCAACTGAAATTCCCTCTTCCCAGATATGTCTAGATACACAGGGCGAGGTAGTATGTATGCATCTGTAACCCCAGCACTCAAAGAGGCAGAGAAGGGGATTGTGGGTTTGAGGCCAGCATGTACTAAATAGAAAGACTCTGGTTCAACAGAAACAACAACAAAAACACCAAAGAAGGGAAAAGGAAAGGGAGAAGTAAGACGGGAGGAGGAAGGAATATAGGACCCCATACACAACGGTGGTGGGAAGACAGCGATGAAGGAGGAGCGTGAGATCGAGTCTGTAAAAGGTGCGCCATCCAGCATGAAAACGAAATCCACCAGATGCCGTCAGAGAACGCTCATCCCTGCAGCTCATCACCAAGTCACGGTGTGTGAGGCTTCAAACAGCCATGGTTTGTTCTGCTGTCCCAGCTCCTCACTCCTGGGACAATCTCCTCTAGACTCTTGTTGCCATTCCTTGTATCACTATTGTGGTGGGGTAAGAGAGCCCAGACCACCCAAACCTGCCTGGAACGAGCATCACCATCCTTATTTCTTCATTTTAGCACTACTCAGCCAGCACCCGTTAGGGTCTCTTAACCCAGCAGCAGCGGAGCCCAAAGTCGCCAGGTTGTCACCACAGCTTCTAGCCCTGCAGTAGTACACTCGACACACTGTTCTCTGACCAGGGAGTTCCCCTGTTGGCTACTGAGAGCTTCAGCCCAGGGAAACGCCTTTGAAGGCATGAGGCAGAACGTCTGTGATGGCTCATTAGCTATCCTTATAAGAAGTGGTGCCCCCACATCCACCCCGTAGGCTTCCAACCTAGGGGTTCTGGTTTGAGGAAAGCGGCACCACATTGGTTACACAAACCACACGCTACAGGACACCATGCAGTTTTGCAATGGAATCTCCCAATGTGATCTTAAGTGATACCTAAGAAGCGACTCAAAATTCTACAAAATGCCCCTAATCACTAGTTATTTGAATAGCAACTTCAGTGAATCCCAGGGCAGCCTCCCCATGATCTTCTGCCTTGGGCTTTAAGGTTAGTTCCTTAACCAGAAACAATGATATGGGTTGGATGCAGTTAAGCTGAAATTTAATGTAAAGTGTCACAGTTTCATCCCCATTGTGAGGATTAAAGGATACAAACTTAATCTGACTGTAATGTTCAGAAACAGGCCCTCTAGGAGCAAAGAGAAAGAAATACATGCAGGCCTACTTGGTTGGCTGCTCCCAGCTAACTTTCTCTTTCCTGTTACTGTTCTGGACCATCTGCCTATGGAATGGCATTGACCTCAGTGGGCTGGGTCTTTCCACATCAATTAATAATCGAGACAATTCCCTCACAGCCAGCCCCACAGGCTAAGCTGACCTGATAATAGGGTCACAAGGATAAAGCCCCACAAGTTTCCTGATGGCTTTACACTCATCCTGTCTCCTGCCATGGGGATGCCCTTTGTTGCCCCAGGACTCTGAAGCAAGGAGGCCATCACCAGTGGAAACTCCCTTTACCTTGCCCTTTCAGAAGCTTGAACAAAATAAAACTTTCAAGATCATCTTGCCTCAGGTATTTCATTATGGTAATGACATGCTGACTAATACAGAAAACTGGTACCAATGGATAGATCTCATTAGAAAAGGGAATCGGAATAGATAGTTATGGATGGTTGGGGGGAGCTGAAACAGGATCAAGTGTGGAGGGGGAGGAAGAAGGGGCAAGGAAGAGGTTATGGAAAGAGACTGCTACAATTAAGGGCCATTTGAAGGGTAACAGAATACAGTAGAAGCTTCCTGAAATATATACATATATGAAGGTGATCTAAAGGAAATCATCAAATGATGGGAGAGACAGGTCCCATCAGGCCATCTCTTGTCACCAAATGAAGCTTCCTTTACAGGGATTGGGTTACATGTAATTGAGTTGTTGACCAAAAGGGTCTCAGGGGGAATCTCCAAACAACCCAGGGGCTGTTGCCAAGACAATAGGCTGTTCTACACAAACTTGGGAAAGTAAGGCCCCATTGCTGAAGACAATACCTACACAACTCACTGAACATGGAGAAGTCAAGCTGGTGCCACATGGGGCCTTGACTCTTACATCTAGCATCTTTGGTACAGGTAGGTACACTGCACACCACCCACAGAATAAGGTAAACACCAACACAGCTGCAAAACCTTTGATCCACAGTGGTGTCCTGGCCACAAGGTATGCTAGGGCAATGGTGGCACAAAGCTTGTATCTGATTTGACTTAAGGCCACGTGATGGAATCCATACCCAACACTGCTTGGGTGACCAAGAACCAGAGACTAGATAGATAGCCTAAAGACCTAGAATAAAACCAAATACTACTGTTCTTAAAAGAGAAAACCAAACCAAACCAAACAACAACAAAAAGAGTAGCAATAAAATGACTCCTAAGGACATTCTGCTATACTCCTGGGTCAGTGCCATCATCAGAGAAGCTTCCTCTTGAAGCAGATGAGAACAAACCCAAAGCCAGACATCATGCAGAAAGAGAGACCTTGGAACACTCAGTCTTAAATGGGATGTTTCTACCAAACCCCTCCCCTCAGGGGTCAGGGGACCCCACAGAAGATGAGGTGGAAAGAGTGTAAGAGCCAGAGGGGACGGAGGACACCAAGAAAACAAGGCCCTCTAAACCAACATGATCAAAGAACATATGAACTCACAGGACCTGCTTGGGCCTGCACCAAGTCCTCTGTGGATATATTATGGCTCCCAGTTTAGTGTTTTTATGAGATTCCTGAGTGTGCAAATGAGTGGGTATCTGATTCTCGTACCTTCTCTTGGGCTATTTTCCTTCTGTTCATTTATCTTGTTCAACCCTGATGCAACTGTTTTTGTTTTATCTTATTATACAATGTTTTATTTTTTATTATTATCCCCCAGAAGTCTGTTTGTTTTCTAATGAGAGACAGAAAGGGGGTGGATCTGGATGAGAGGGGGTGGGGAGGAACTGGGAGGAGTAGAGGAAAGGAAACCGAAATCAGGATATATTATGTGAGGGAAAAAAAAATCTGTTTTCAATAAAATAAAAAAAAATTTAAATAAATAAAAACTTTTAAGAAAGAAAGAACGAACGAACATTGGTACCAAGAGTCTCGTTGTTAAGTATACCTAGCATAGACTTGGGTCTATGCTGGCAGAGGATGGAAGGGTTTGAAGGAGCGGTTAAAAAATGACTAAACTAGC